GGGGGGCGGATCTGTGGTCCCTCACACTCTCTGTTGGATGCTCCTATAGAGAAACCTTAAATAAACAAGCGCGTGTACACACACAGGTGCTCACATGGTGCTCTCATAAGTATGGGCTTGGGCACGTTCAACACAGGTCTTAAGACTATGGTGGGCACTTAATGCACTGTGATTTATTATCGTGATTCTTCAGTTAAACAATGTTGATTATATATTTCCTCATCAAGTTGACGCAGTGACAGCTTAATCTTGTTGTATTGTTGTTGTGTCCCTTTTTTTGTGTCCCTTTGTTTTTTTTTTTTGGTCTCTTTCTGCAGGTCTAGAAGCAGACTCTTGTTCATTATTGTTTATTTTTGTGGACCCCTCCCCACCTTTTGTCTTTTCCTTTCTCTTTCACCTCTGTCTCCGTGTCTGGTCGGAATTACAAAGTATTCAAAAACAATAACAATAAAGTTTTAAGTATCAGGCGTGACATTAAAAGCAGACGCTTCTGAAAGTAAATCTGTAAGGCTTGTTACCAGCATTCAGACATCAATTCTGCTTGCTTCACAGCCAGACAGGACACGGTAAAAAAAATAAAAAAAGAATATTTTAGCCTCCTTATCTTAATGAAGCTTTTTAAAAATCTTAATCTATCTGTTAAACCTTTTGGGAATCATAATCTTATGAAAAAGCAGGCTGTATTATTAAAGTTTAAAGCCTTGTTTAGTGGAAACCCGGTCTCTAAATTTCTCCTGTAATGAAATCAATGAAGTGAGGCACTTCTCTTTAAATATGTTGTTGCTGGAGCTGCCTCTCAGGTGTTTTGTATAAAGGTGAGAGGCAGGCCCAACAATTCTGTCAGTTTGGTGAGCTCCACAAACTCCACTCTCAAACATGTACGTGTTTGACACTTTAACATGCAACCTTAACACGCAAATGTGAGTTTTAAACTGTTATTCTTATGATGTCCTCAGCTTCCCAGATGTTTTAAGCCAGCTGCATGGTATGGCAGAGTGGCTAAAGTTTTGATAAAGTTTGCATCCCTTGGCAAGCGAAGCGAGGTATGTTAGCATGAAATGAAGACTTTGTATATATTGTGATTTACTGAATATTGATAGTTTCAATAATTGTGTTGTAATTGTTTGTTCTTTTGTAGCTTTCACGGTGTTTATGGTCCTTTAAAGTCCTCATTGTACTCACAATATTGTGTGACAAACTAAGTGAAGAAAGGAAATAAACAAAAGTCTACACCCGTCGAGACTCTCTCACTGCATATTGTTTGGATGTCAAGGGGCTGCTACAATCACTCTTGATCACAAAAACACTTTGAAACTTTCCAATGGGGACTGTATGTATGTTAGAGCAGTCCAATATAAATATTGACATTATTTAACCCTGGATGGAAAATTAGCTTATTACTGTAACAACAGGAAAACATTTTGGTTACGGACTACAATAGCACCCTGGGGTTGAACTTTTAAAATTTTTAGATAATTCACTAAGTGTCCTATAAAGGGTTACCTCCTGTACAAACATAAAGTGTTTTGCATCCATTTTAACTAAAAACAATGAATGAAAATTTGTTTTTTTTTTCTCTTTTGAACAAACTTCCCCAAAGTTCTCTATTCTATAGAGTTCAGAAAGTCCAGATTCAGACCCCACATTTAATTTCATTTCTGAGTGAGACTTGGCATTTTGCTGCCCAAACCTCTGACCAAAAAGAACATGTCACAGAGTCAAAGAACCTAAAGCAGCACATCTCCTGGTCTAATTGGGCTGGATGGCTCCGCTAGATATTGAGGTGGCATTTAGCCTGACAATTCCCTCGGGTTCAGGCTGATGAGCCGGGTAGGCCTTTGTTTATCAATGTCTTTGTGCTTTTGCTGAGTAGTTTGTTTTTGCCCTTGGAACACTTTATCAAATGTCACATCTAATATGGTGGTGTGGGGACCACAGGGCCACAGCAGATCTCTGGGGGTTCACCCTTGTTTCCTTACCTTCACAACTCCATCTAGCTATAGCTAGATAGCTGGAGACACTCCATTTCACTACAAAGTTCTCAGTGTAGTATGATAACATTACAACAGTTTGTCTTATTATTGTCTATTTGATTCTTGTTACTTTGTACCTGTAAAGTGCTATTTAAATAAAGATTGACTTGGCATTATTTGTAATATACCAGCATCCAAAAATATGGCCTGCAGGTGAATGTTAAAGGAATTCTGGTCACATGACTTGGATCTGAGTCAGGCTGCTGACTTGAAACTGATTTTAAAATTTAATGCTTACTTGTTCATACAGCTTTGGCAATGCTTGTTCATTCATAGTATCTGGAAATTATTTCAAACAACTTTATAATTAATTTACATACTTGGTCAAATTGAGTTGTTTGAGACTCAAATGTCAAAGCCTGCTTGGAGCATGACCTGAGATTTGTGTGGAAAAGACTGTGCCAAATGAATGCTTATGATTTTGTTTTCTCTCTTGTATTTATTTTTTATTTGTTATAATATGGAGGTTATTTTGTTTCTTTATTAATCAATTAAAAAAGTTAATTCAAACAAACACACAAAAAATAAGTAATTCAAACATTTTTGAAAAACTGCAATTAAAAATGTAAACAAAATACAATCTAAATCTTAAAAATCTTTATTTGTCTATTATTACTTGGCAGAAAAACCGGTGAGAAAAAAACAAAAAGCAGAACACACAAATGATAGCAAAGCTATCTTTTCCATGATTCTTTGTCAAGAGATGTCATTTAATTTGATCTCATGACAAATGAAAACAGGAACAAAAACACCAAATTTAAATATTTGGAAAAGCAAATGAGTGTATTATTATTAATAATAATAATAACAACAACAACAACAAAAACAACAACAACAACAATAATAATAATAATAATAATAATAATAATAGTATTATTATTAATAACCACAATAGAGCTCCGGACCCCACGTGACCCTCAGTTAGTAGACGCCATATTGGCAGGAAAAAAAGGTAAAAAAAACACGGATCGTAAACATGAACGTGAACGGGATCGGCTTGGATTTTACTTCATCAGAGTTTACTTCACACTTTAAAACCGAAGAAATTGTTTTATATAGTCAGAAATTAAATAGACTAAACATCTCCGACCCTTACCGTGCCCCTGGGATACTTTTTAAAAACGCCAGAAGCTGTCGGAGCGGACTTCTTACAGGACCTGGCCGGGGAACCCCTTGGGATTCCCCCGGAGGAGCTGGCCCAAGTGGCTGGGAACAGGGAAGTCTGGGCCTCTCGGCACTACTGCCCCCGTAACCCGACTCCAGATAAGCGGATTAAAATGAATGGATGGATGGACACATAACATAGATTTACGTGTAATTAGTTTAAATAGAGTGCTGTGCTGTTTGAATGTATAAACTGAACACCAAGATCTAGTCTGATTTTTTCCGTGGATAAAATAAATATGTCAGGCAGGAGCGTCTCAGGATCTGTCTGAGATCTGTCTCGGTGAGACAGATAATTAGCCTGGCAAGCCAGACTAAATAAATGTATTATTTAGTCTGGCCACGCTCCATTGACGGCTCTCGGTTGTGGGGCGGGTTCTACCGTTGTCTTTCAAATCATCTCCGCATTCCACTGGACAATGAATGTGACATACTCTTGTTTCACTCTGCTGCATCATCCCACCCACCAGGCATATAGAGTGCCCTGATTGGCCCACAAAGCGGATAAAGCTCTGTGATTTGTTCACTAAGCAGATAGAGCACTATGATTTGCCCACCATTATGGACCAATCACAGCTCATTATGTGTTTGAAACCCCTCTAGAGAGCTGTGATTGGCTAGCCAGAGTCCTGGTAGGAGCTGCTGAGGTTCCAATGGAGCGTGCCTAGACCATTCTTTGCAAAGCAAGAATTTGGTCTAGTTCACTAGGCTAACAGATAATAGCAATCCAAAGTGCTTTTTATGTGTGATCTGACAATTGATCAACCATTGCTTAAAGAGCAAGTAACATCTAAATTAACTTTTTTTTGCTGATTAACTGTATAAATGAGTGTCTAATAGTGTTTTAAATGTGTGCATTCTTTATTTTAGCATTTTGGTGCATTTTCTTTAAAAATGAAAAATTCTGTCTAAAAACCACAGTAATGCGCCACCTTCAGCTGAAAACATAGAATTTGAGTCATTTTGAATACATTTTAGCCAATGGCTAAAGAGTAAAGTACTACGTAAACCAGTAGAGTACTACGTAACAGCTCCGTGCCAAAGTTATAAAAGCAACGAGCGTCTCGGCCACGCCCTGTGGCGAGTGGGAGTTGGATTTGCAAGCAAGCGTAGGAGGTCAGCGGTAGTTCAACATTAGCATATAGCATTAGCATATCCTAGTCTTTAGCATATCTTTTAGTGTTATAAATACTTATTTAGTGTTAGCTTGGCTGTTTGATATTGTAGTTTAGTTAGTGTTTGGCTTTTAGTGTAATTGGGAAAGTATTTCGGGTTTAGTGTTCCATATCGTCTTAGTATTGGTGAGTAGGTGTAGTGTAGTATGGTTGCGGTGACTCTGTGGGCATTTTACCCGCGATTCTGCACGCCTCCGTTTGAAGAGGGAGGCTGTGCCCACCGTGGCTCTTCCGCGATTTAGATGCAGCCCACCGACTCTAATCCCCCACCACGGCGGGCTCCACTCTGAGGTGAGTAAGCTAAATAAAGTTTTAACATCTTCTAAAGACAATTCCCTACCTAAATGCAAAGTCTGAGAGACGTGGTTCACTTCCTTTAGCTAGTCAGTCGGTAATTCTGCAACAGTGTCTCTAACTGACGCAGCACTAGTTGACAGACAGCATTACAGCGTGAAATCCAGCTTGTGACCCGGTTCTGTAAGGAATTCTGTTCAGGAGGTCACATTTCAGGCTCTCCACATCATGTGTGACTGACTTTTACGTTATAACAACGATCACACACTAGGAATATTATAAAGCGCCTATATAGGAGATTCTTTTGTATATGGAGCGTTATGGTTTATGCTCTTTTATGAAAGATGAACCATTCTACATTGTAATTTGTGATATTAATTTTATTAAATTAATAACCAAATTGTATAGTTTTAAGAAGACTCAAAGGTTGTTTTTATCGATAAACTGTCGATAATATCCGTGGGTCTGTGTTTCAGTTCAATGAAGAAACAAGTTTGACAATTAAAAGTTTTAATTCTTCAAATTAAACTAATGATTTTGAAATTGACAAACAGGAAATAACAATCAACATTGGCAACTTTGTGGGACAATCTTTAACAGTTGATATGCTGTTCTTGCTCAAATAGACCTTGTGGTGAATGTGTGAAGATTGAACATGAGGTGAGATGAAGGCATGTGGGTGTGCGTTTGATTTTGCTTCAGGAAGAAACAGGTGTCTGAGTGAAGTGATGGTTTGGATAAACTTAGGTCTTTTTGAAAAACTGCATCAAACGCTAACTACCGTGTTCTGCCTCACCGAAAATCGGACCCCCTTTACGATCCGGGACGCCAGAGGATGTTGATTTTCATCCAGGTGACACCAGCGGCTGGCAGAGGAGACGTAGGTGTCCTGCGAGCCCGGTCCAGAGATGCCCGCGGTACACGTCGATGGAAAAACGTTTGCAGATGTGTTTTGTTAAGTTTAGTTCACTCAGAAATCAAAAGACTCGGTATGAGTCTGCGTTAGAAGTTGCGATTCAGCTATTCTGTCTGGCTGACAGGAACAGCGTGGGGGGAACGAGCCGACCGGCTCTGTCCCCCCTTTGGTTTCTTCAGGTCCTCTCTCTTTCGTTGTCAAGCACGAACTGAATCATTAACTGAAACTTACCAAAAGCCTTTCTCTTCTCAAAGCAAAACGTGTACGTCAGCAAATGTGTTTTGGAGTTTACTGTGAGAATCTGTGTGGGTGTGTTTGAGTGTGTGTGTGCTTGAGTGTGTGTGAAGGTCGTTAACAAACATCCTCAAACATTATTTAATTAAGTATGGATTCATTAATCCATTATAATTACCCAAAGCATAAGAATCATTCATTTGATTAAAACACATTTATAATGAGCAAAATGATAATGATTATTATTTAACATTAAAATCAAGAAAGAAAGTTTAAGACTTGTTATGACTACATTTCCTGGGAACACATCTTCTGGCAGACTGCAGGTGGCAGATGTTATGGTTTCCAGCAGACTCTTGCAGACTTCATGTCTGCAAAGGTCTCAATCTGTGGGTGAAAGTTCTCAGCGACCCAGCTATTGACCCAGCCGAGTCAAATGACCTTTTGCACAGAAAACCCATATTTCCTCACATTACATATATTATCTGACTTTATAAACTCCCAACAACAATGTGCTTCTATTTTTTTTTTTTCAGGCTAAATCTACCCAAGACACTGGCTGTCAGACTGATTTAGCTGCAAGAATGTACTTGTCCAGGCTGATGTGAAGCCTTCCCTGTAGCAAAGGTGAATTATTTTTAATAATCTTCTATGTAAACATTTTATTATTACCTTCTAGTTTTAATTTGTTTTACAGATTATTGTTACACATGATTTTATGCTCTTTTAAACATTTATAAATGTGCTGCTTCTTTGTTTTTACATAGCCAGCCAGAATGGAGTTCACAGCCGCAGTGTGTCTGGTGACCCACAGGGACCATGATGAAAATTCATCTTCCAGAAGGTCCCAGAGCGTCCAGACCCCCTGAAAAGACCAAGATGTAAGGTGTCTGCTGTTGATTCCAGCTTCCACCTCAGTGACAGTGCAAGCTCAGTGAACTGTTCAAGGTAAAAAAAATTAAAACATTTCAGAATTTTTAAGATATTAAAAATTAAATAAGTATGTGATTACATCATGAAGGAGGCTACTGATTCTGCCCCCGTGACACTTGGTGGTGACGTGTGAGCTGATTCACCTGGAAAATAACTTTTACATTAAATATTTTGTTTTTGCTATCAAAAGTAAATTAACTAATAACCTGCATTATTGCAGGACACTCAGCAAAATATGGACTCTACACCATGAGGCAGGCACACGTTAATATTCTATAAGAGCACATAAGGTGAGCAACACCACATATTGTACACTGTCCTGAATTTGTTTTCTTTCTGCATCTCATTAGCCTGGCTGATCACCTGATAACTCCTGTCATCTGGTTATGACAGCATGAGGATGTCCTCACACACCTGTAACCTATCAGCTCATCTGGCAGAATAGAGAGAGAAGAGACAACACCACATCTCCTGTTCCTGGAAAGCCTTCAGCCATCCTTCGATGACTGAGAACCTCCATCAGCTCTGTCTCCTGTCTGCCTACAATTATTATAATAAATATTGTGTTTGACAAGTTTTTTGTGCTGCCAAATATCTAATTTAGATTCCAGTTTTGATATTTTAATGGATATTTATAAATTACATTGATTATCACATTTTTGTTGCATGCTTAACTAGCTCTATTGTGATGAATTAAACTAGCACCTCACTGTTAAAAGCTCGTTTTAATTTCAAGCATGTTTAAGTATTTATGGACATGAACAAAAACAGGAAATATATAAATTGAGATTTATTTAATTAATATAACAAATAAGGGGGAAAGAGTCATTGAAAGGCACATTCTTCTGGAAGCTCCTGATCCTGACAACACCAGAGACCAGTTGCAGACACCAGAGGACCTAGAACCGAGAGAGCAGCTGTTATTAGTAAATAAATAAAGAAATCAGGGCAGTTTTAGTGGGCTGAACACATTACAGAATAATTTTCTCATGGGGTATTTTCATAACTTTATATGCAGCAGACTGTAACTTGAGCCCAGGGCTACCGGAGAGCTGCTATCCAGCACGTTTCAGTGGATTTTCCTGCTTTAACAGGTTAGATTAGCTGTTAAGCAGCTCAGCTATTTGTTGCTGATTAAAACCAGGTGTGCTGAAGCAGATAAACCTCTAAAACGTGCTGAATACTAGCTTTTTAGGGCCGTGGAGCCAAACACTGCAGCTAATCCAATGCTATGGCTAACGGCTACTTACCATTCAGAGGTGGTTCTGTAGGGTCGGTTCCGGTAGTTTCAGGCAACTCACAAGCTCAAAACAATAAGGCTCAGGTCCGCTTGTCTCCTCCAAATAGACTTGGTCCCTTTCTTCTCGAGTGTCTGGGTAAGGAGGGGGAGAAACGTCCTCCACTTCTAATAACTGCTCAGAGTAAAGGGAGCTAGCTTCGTCTAGTTAGCCATCGTCTTCGTCACTGCCGCGGCTCCGCCCTCTCGGTCCTCCAGGCAACGCCTACTAATGCTGCATTTTTTTAAATTGATACGTGGGTGGAGAAGGACTCCGAGGCTCAATTGACCCGCTCTTTAAAAATTAAATACAGCTTAGCTGGTTAATTGCTGTGATCATAAAACACGTAAACGGCAGCACGCAGAACTCACGAGGCAACGTTTTACATGATGTTTACTTGTTGCTATGAGTAATAAGACAGAAAAAGCCACGCCAAAATAAGTTTAGGAAGCCCACTAAGAATCGTAATAAAAGCATTTAAAATAAATACCATACACAGTTGAGGAAACGTTGGTTTAAGTATGAAGTGGTCACTGCATAAGCGAAAACCTTTACTCGGGATCCCACAGTTTCATTTTAGCCCGGTCACTAGCGCGTTTTATTACAATGATCCAACGTTTGCGGTGCTCCGGATCTTGGGGAATCCTGTAGATGGCTCATTCCTTATGTCATCCGCGTCTGTTCTGCATCCTGGGGCACAACAGGAATCTACCATATTTCCTGTCTGATTGAGTTTTCTGACAATAACAAATAGTCCAGCTGCCGGCTTCTGCATGCCAATATGGCGCCGTTTCGATTTGAACTGTTGCATGCCGGGAGAAGTGACGTCAACTCCCGGAGCTCTGTTGTGGCTTTTCTGTCTCAGAATAGAAGGGTCTGGCTGCGGCTGCTGTGGAGCTCCACAGTAACCGGAAACATGTGACCTCCACACTAACCGGAAGCACGTGACCTCCACAGTGGCCATAAACACTCATGGATACCGCGGACGTCTTGCAAAGGTTGGGACAGTCTTTCTTAAATAAACTTGCCGTTAGTGATTTCATAATTCTGGTTTTCTTACAATGATCATGTTGCCACTTTTTTTTGCGTTACAACAACATTCCTTCTTATTTAAATTTTTTTCCCATCGTGCTCCATGGCAGAGAAACACACAGATATGCTTTTTCCTGGGCCTGGTTTAAGTAAGAGAGTTGGATTAACGGCTTCTGTCGGCGAGAAGAAGAAAAAACACATTTTGCATTCGAGTATGATTTATTGTTGGCGTCAGAGATGCAAAATAACGAATACTTCAATACTGTACTTAAGTAGAATTTTCTGGTATCTTTACTGCTGTACTTTTTTGTGCCTACTGTATACTTTATACTTCTACTTCTCACATTTGAGCACGCGTGTCTGTACTTTGTAATCCGTACATTTGTAAATCAGCCCCCTGCACGCGTGCTTTGGACGCAAGATTACTTCAGAATTTTGTACATAAATTATATTTTATACCCTGTACTTCTTACTTCCACTTGACTAAAAAGTCGAGTCAATGCTTCTACTTTTATTTGACTATTTTTAAACAGAGGTATCTAAACTGTAGTAAGGAACGTGTGCACTTTTGACACCACCGTAAATTTTGTCACAAACAGATTTATATATTTATCAATACTTCTATTCGTTATTCTATTCTGTACAGCTTTTTTATTGCCCAGATTTTAGTTAGCCCCTGTTCAATTGACTGTTATATGTCAATAGAAACATATCTCACAAATGAAAGTGTCTTGTAAAATGTTTTTTTTTCAAGAAGTTTCCTCCCAAATCTATTACATGCTAACTGTAATGTGTTATTTCTGCTAAAACCTGAACTTAAATGTGTATATGCTGTTTATCTGTTTTTCTCTCTGTTTTAGATGCACATATCAATCTGGAATTCGGGCTTAAAGCCAGAATTGCAGGAATGCAACACGTGCTGCAGAGGACTCTTTCACTGCCCTCTGTGCCCCACTTTCAGCCCTACTGTCAGGGCAAAGATTGAGGAGCATCTAAGTGTGCATATGAAAAATGCTTTGCATTTCAACGGTATGTTTGTATTAAATATACTTTATAGTTATAAATATGCACTTTTTAAAGCACTTCTGCAGTATCTTTGTTGACTTAAAAGTTGCTGTTGACATTGTACAGTTCAGTGCATTCATCTGCCACAAAACAGCGTTTTTATAAAATATATTTTATTTACTTTTCACCACTTTTCTTGACATAACTTTTGTGATCCATACCATTTTGCTTTCATTATTGAGTTTGGCTTGAATGTTTTTGTTAACATGTACAATCTGATTGTTAGATAAATTGATTGCATTCTATACAACTACATTTAAATTACATCTGTTTCTTTGTTTGTTTGTTTTCTCTTACAGATAAAATGATATACCGGTGCAGGCTGCCTTGTAGGACAGCAGGACACTTTCACTGCCCTGTCTGTAAGACTACAATCATACGGCGTGGGGATATGGCAAGGCATTTATTGTCTTGTCAGCACTCTTCAATGCCAAGTCAGCCACCATTATCAGGACTGCTCCCCGTTGAACTCTCCGAGGAGACCCGTATTCCTCCGGCAGTACACTTCGAGGAGCCCCGTGTAGTGAAATAGAGTGATGTAACGATCTAGAGTTGTATTTTAATATACTGTAAGTAGATCTAGTTTTATAATCAGAAGATGGGCTGTTTTTATCATCAGGGAGTTTAATTAAACACTCTGTATTGACTTTGAGACAAGAAAAGAGAGAGAGAGAGTTGGGATCGTTTAAGAAGCTTTAATTTCTTAATTATAAATTCTTAACAATCTACCAGGACTAACTCTTTGATGGATGAAAATGGATTTGGATGTTGTGTTGGTGCGTGTGTGCGTGTGTTGTTCAGGATCTTTAGGCTGACGGAGCGTATCTGGTTGTTATGACTACGGACCACGAGGCTTCGGAAGCTGATGACATGAGCAGCTATTTTGCCGTGTACGTACCCTGTGGAGTCTCCCAGGTAGATCAGGAAATGCCAGGTCCTAGGACCTCGGATGTGTACTGGAGCTGGTTGAAGCAGCGGTCACAGCACGTCAGAGCCCGTCTGAAGGGTCGACCCCGGTACCATCGGCAGCGTCAGCTAGTGGTGCTCTTATTTTGAAGGGACGTCGTCTTGTTGGTAAACAACAGAAATCTCCAGTAGCTTCACAGTTCTCAGTTAAAGAAGAAAGCACATCCGGCCAGGCTGTACTTCTCTTTCGATGACGGTGGAACCCCGTAGGACTTCCAACTGAACAGAACTGAAGTCAAAATGGAACTCCTCATAAAATGGCGTTGCCTTGTTTTTATATATCTGATTTGTTTTAAGTTTCAGTAAACGGGATTGGACACTTTAATTCAACAAGCCAGATTCTCTTACGGCAGCCGAAAGCTCTGATTGGTTGGAACAATGTGTCATGCGTTTCTATGGAGATGAGGGTCAGTCTGTCTGTGCAGTAGTCCTGTTTTCATTAAACACATAAATCATGACATCTTTATTCCACGGATCATTCACTTGATTATTATTGATCAACATCTGTTTCAATTAGCTTTAATCACAAATTAAGTACTTTGATTATTGAAAAGCGTTCTTCTTCTCCTTCTGGCTCTTCTCCTGGAATGTAAACAGTCTGAGGAACACCCGACCTTGGCGTTTTCTACACGGGTGTTACTGTGTACAGGGGCAGCTGTGTGGAGCTGAAAATTATGAACTTCATAACGTTACACCCGTCTCCCCCCCAAGGTTTTGTCTTCGGTGTCTGAACCATTTTCTGAATCTTTGGTAGAACATTCATATGCTCTACCCTCTGTGTTCAACAAAACTGCAGCTGATGGAAAGTCCATGAAAAAAACATGCCCTCACTGTGGCCTTACTCTTCGTACCAAAAACTACAAGGCTCACCTGATGAGGAAGCACTCCAACCAATCAATAGATGTTTGCCTGGCCAGTCATCTGCAGTGTGTTTGTGCAGATGAAACTACAGGGTTATTTGCTGTGCAGAGAACGGGCCATGGGTTTTCTGTGCCAGTTCACGTTTAGAGGAAAACATGGGGGATGTCTCACAATATCAGATGTGAGCTGGAGGAATGTCAGCAATACCAGTTGCTGGCCCAGCAGAGCGGACTAGGCTTCAGTTTATGTGAGCACCTTCGCTCACTAGATTACTGCCGAGAGACTGTAAAGGAGGTTTTTCTTCAAGAGCACATCGTGATGGAAATGGTGGACCTTAAATTATTTGGAGAGGCCAAAGCTGCTACATGCATAAAGAGGCAGAAAGCTGCCCAGATGGCACATGCTCCACTTTTTGTGAGGGTGGATTTTGGTGGATCCTCAACACAGATCTGTTTGTCTGTATTTGAGCCGGAAATACACAGTTTCTGCCGTCTTGGCAGAATATTTGTGACTTACAATGCTCTGTGGAACACCTGGCATTGCGCTTGTGCAAAGCCACGAACATCATGTCCTCATAAAAACATAGCTAAGTGGCATCTCTTCCAGACACAGAGAGACATCTTCAAATCAACCGTACCACTATTATCAGGCACCCCATCACAGATGACTCAGGAGATTTCTTCCTTTGAGGACAATGCTGCCGTTGAAAGGAGTATACGCTATATTTTTAAAGAGAAAAAAAATTCCTGTATCTCTTCCAGAAAATGTCATCTCACAGAAAATGGATCATCAGAAACAGCTCTTTCCATGTGAAACGTTGTGCCAGGTGTGCCCAGAGCACCCAAAACTTGATGAGGCTGTTCTAATTACCAATAAAGCGAGGATTGTCAGCATGATGGGAGTGATTGAGAGTAAGTTTTAATGAATAAGATTAAACATCAGTGTGAAATAATCAGTTATAATTGTTCCTATACTAATGTTTTGACATTATTGTGACTTGTCTTTAACAGATGTTTCAACACACCATAGATTGTGTCCTCAGTGCCACATGGTCTACAGATACCAGGAGTGGACCGATGGGCTTCACAACTTTGACAACCACGTTGTTTTGTCTCTTGAACTCTGCCTTTTTCTGAGAGAAAATCTGCAGGTGAGGATCACAAAAATAAAATGTACTCATCTGAAGATTGCTTTAAAAATGTGTTTGTGTCATTATGATATGTTGGTGCCCAAATTTAAATATCTGTAATCATAGTCTTCTTCACCCTATTGTCATATTACAGAACCATGTTTCCACTTCAAGGGTCATTGACTCATTGGAGGGCTTAAGAAGAGTGAAGTTTCCTTCTAGGGATACCATGTTTCATGCTTATTGCCATTTTGAGGCTTTGACTGACACAGACTATATGTACTCCTGCATAAACTGTGGGTTTCACCCCCCTGTGGTAGTTATGGACTTACACAGAAAAGGGGTGTTCAAGTTAGCAGGTAAGTTTAATGTACATTTGTGTTCATAGTTCATTGTGTACATTATGTGCATGTTCTTATGAGTCAATTTATTATAGTGAGTGACCTCAAAGCCCCGGAAGACTTCAATGGTGAACATGACATTGAAGGTTTTTGGAACTCTGTTCACCTGGAAATGATAAGCCGTGGGTTTTTTCCAAGTAAGTAATGGCAAAAACTCATTGAAAGTCATTCAGTGTTTTAAAGTAATTTAGATTGTAATTAAAAACATGCCATTTTCTGTAGGCGGCACGAAGAATCCATTTTCAGTTGCACCAAGTTACACGTCCTGGGCACCGTGGATCGGGAATGAAACTCGTACAAGTGACATTGTGCTTAACACAGAGTTTCAAAAAGTAGGAATAAGCTCTTCACATGAAGCAAAGCTTAGCAGTGTCACAGAAGACCGTCTGTTGGATGAACTCGCAAAACAAAAGGTAACATTGCTTTTATGTTTTTTCAGAAGATGTGACATAACGTTCAGGGGTTGTTCCATTTACATTTTTCCCTAATTACTGTCAGGTTGGAGTGGTAAGAAAATTGTGTAAAGCATGCAACTTCGACTCCAAAGGCTCCCGCTTTGATCTCATCACCAGACTGAGGGAGAAGATGAAGAGCAGGCAGACATATGATAAGGTGTTTCAAAGCATATGGGGTGCCTCTGGTAAGCATCACTTAGTGATTATTAGAAGTAGCATTAAAATATGTAATTACAATCACAAACAACTTTTTAAATCTTTGCTTGCAGGAGGATGGTCTGTAATACTATGTCCACATGGCATTGTATACAGCGTTAAATTTAATCTTCGTGCTGAAAGTCCCCGGGATTTTGCTGACCTTCTCCTGTCCTGGAAGCACATGCCAAACGTCTGTGTTTACGATTTTGCGAGGGGTTTGGCGGCACACACCAATTTGCGGGTTCCTGATAAACTGCCATTTCACCCACATGAAGGTCGACTGGCTGAGCCCACTGAGGAAAATGTCAAGGCTGCACAGGATGGAAGCCTGAAAGTGAATCTTCCATGGCTACATGAATGGATGGATAGTGTAAATGAAGATCCTCATCCTGTCACTGGATCATCTGACCATTATGTCCTGGATGACAGATTTCATGAGGGAAAAACAAAAGATCCCAAGGACATATTACGCAGAATTCAACTTGTCCCAGAGCTGAAAGGCTGGCTGAACAGTCAAGTTGTTGAACAGTTCTTTGCAAACATGAGGAAAAGCAATTACTTTTTAAGTAACATGAGTCCATCCACACGTGTTTCTGATGAGGAATATAACTCATCATTATAACACTGTCACCAACAAGAAACTTCTGGACAGGCAGCTAAGACATGGTCGACTTGGAAAGATCAATATCTCATTGTCGGCACTGGGTCAAGCTGTCGTAGGTAGGTACATGCATTGTCTCATGACCAGAACGCTACCATTGGTCACATGTTAGATTTGTTCCTATCTGTGTGTTTATATTGTTTTCTTTGTGTACCTAGCCCCACAGGTGTGCAGTAAACCCAGAGAACCCACAGAAACGGTGTTGAACCCAGCACCTTCAATGTCTGGTGACACTGGTAAAATTTCTTATTTTGAATAGTGATTGTCATATATAGGTGAAATAATAATCTTGCATTCATTATCTTGTTGTAGTTGCGGGCTCGTAAACGAACTTATCTGCTGTTTCAAATGAATTTCCTTCTGTAAACAGTGCTTATTTTTCTTGCATTTGTATGCATTTAATATGCATTCTATGCAGTGTTTTGTCTGAAAACTGTTAAAGTCCCTACAGATCCTCGGGAAGGAGTTGACAACAAGAAAGCCAAAAGAAGGTCAACAGATGCAACGTTTCCTGACCTGTGTGGACCACCGTGCGAAGCTCTGACAAAGCCTGAGAACATTTTGGCCAGCCGTTCATCGTGGTGTTTGTACCGCACCCTGGCCAACAACAGCTTGTATGTTAAAGTTTTCAGATGTCGCAAAGTGCAACGTGCTTATCTGATTTTGTCATCCACAGTCCATGATATCTCTGTTTTTTAGCTCAACTATGTTCTGGACATCAGCAGACCCAAAGATGAGCTGATTGTTGAAACGTCTTCTGGATGCCTCACGCGGGCAGATTTTTGGACACTGGGTTTAAACAAAGAAATGGAATCGACTGTAAGTATTTTGTTTCTATGAATATGAAATAATAAAGTGTACTTTCATTTTTTTTTTATGATTTTTTCTGTTTCAGATTGCAAATGGCTGTTTTGAGCTTATCACTAAAATTGTTCAGTCAAAGGTACTGTATGTTGTATAGGATGATTGTCAAGCTTTAATTTAAAGAGTTGTTGTTTTAAATGTGCTGTTTTTACATTCTAGGGGATAAGCATTTACATAGAAAACCTGTATGTCACCCGGACTCGGCTTGCACCCTATGGCTGTGATACATTGCAGTCCTTTCCTGTAAGTGTACCGTCCTTTAAAGAAACAAGCAAGTGATCAAAAAGATTATTTTTTTTATAACTTTGGTGAGAGTTCATATACAGAATACTTCAAAATAAAATTCTGTTTCAGACTGAAGCTCAGAGGATGGACATCATAGTTCTCCCTCTCTGCTCATTTCCAGTTGTGTGTAAGTCTTGTTTTTTGACACATACACACTGTTAGAATGTTGCTATGTGTCTGAGATGTATTCAAGCTTTTATGACGCAGTTTCAAAAGTCTTTGATTGTGATCGCTTGCAATGACATTGTTTTCAGGTTTGAAGCCATGGCTAACTGTCTTTTAGGTACTGAAGCCACCTAGAAGAGAAATCCTCTTTCTTGACCCGTTACACACAAAGGCAGGATTTGGTGGCCAACAATATGTTTCACTTTTGAGGTCACATTTTTATAAGCATTTTTGGTTTGTTCCAGAATTTTCGGGAACCTGTTCAGTGTTCCAGGTTAAGTGCATGATCATGTTCTGCTGATCTTGAGTGTTCACACATACAGTACACTCACATGCTTTTTTTATAAACTATATCAGCACGATGCTTCAACATTTTATTCTATTTCTCATCTTCACATTCTGATCGTCAGTGATGCTGTCTTTAGATGAGTTTCAGACATAAATAGGGTCTTCAAACATTTTAGTTTAACATAAAACACCATTAAATATTAGTTTATAAAATATGCCAACCTCAAATTAAAGCTGAAAATGCTTTATTTTGACCAACTGTGAGCATGTGACTGTACTTTTTCATTTTGTTATGCTGTTTTGTTGAGGTCGTGTTCCTAAGACCTGCAGTTACAGTTGGTGCTATTAGCAATAAACATTTCACACCCATCATGATGATGTCTGTTAACTTGTGAATGTAACTGCCTTGAAAAAAAAAGGAATCTTGCAGTGAAGCTCATTCCCGGGCAGTGGTCAGAAAAAAACAGCTTTGACTTGAAGGTATGTGCTAGTTTAAGTGTATGGTGAGTAATATGAATTACACTAGTCTTCTTTTAAGGGATTTTATCAACGAGCCTTTATTTTCAATGTAATACAGGGTTTTCCAAGCCAAGACTACGGAGTTGACTGTGGGATCTTCATGCTGATGGTAATTTTTCTCTTCTCTTCTTGAGATTCATACAGAAGCTAATTTAAGCTTCTAAAAAAATGACATTGTTATTTTTTCTTCCAAATAGTCTGCTCTGTACGTGGCACTGGATGCACCATTTGACTATACTATAGTAAGTATTCTATTTACTTTCACAGCAATGGAGTCTTGAATCTTTTGAAAGTTGTTAAATATGTTTCATATTAATATTTTAGTCAGACATGCCCTACTTGCGTAAATGGTGGTGCTTGCTGTTGATGGAGAACTTTGATCTCAGGAGGTATTTATATTTTGACTTCTGTTCTATGTTGTGTTAAAGTTTACACTCCTTAACAATATCAACATTTTCTGTTAAGCTCTGGCAAGCTATTTGCACACTGGAGAGAGGAAGCCAAAGCTGTGCTTGAAGGACAACACGTGCCCATTTTCAGACTGAAAAAGCGCAAGTTCCAGGAAGTCAGTCAGGTCAGTATTCACTTTAAACAGTAGTGTAATTACATGGTTAGTGACATTTGAATAACTGTCAAAAAAACTGTTCTGCAACAGAGAAATAGCTATGTTTGTATCCCCATGTGCCTGACACAGGAGCCAGCAGTTGTTGAAGATCTGCATCCTGCTGTGCAGTGGGTTGTCCAAAATAAGGCACTTTTCCGTGGACACGTAACAATGCCAAAATATCTGTCCTTAAATCAAGGGGACCAGCAGAGGGTCTTAAGAGACATGTCAGAGGAAGAAGACACTGGAGCAGCAAGGGACATGTTCCTCTTTGTTTTTCAGTTTGCAGAGGACATGGAGCTCTTTTTGAAAGCATGTGCTGATGAGCAGGGACTAAGGGTCAGTGCTATGTTTGACATGTAATGGACAAATGAAGGCACTGACTGTGTTTGTTTGTTTGTTTAATATGTCGTTGTTGTTGTTTTTGTTTTGTTTTTGTATAGTACAAAATTCCAATTAAACTTATTTCAAAATGTTGTTCACTTGATTCTATGTCCATACTTATAATAAAGGATTACAGTATAACAGCATTAAATGTAAATGTAACAGCATTTTTTTATACTTGTAATTTCCAAATAAAAAGCTTGTTGTTGATATTAACAGTAAAGAATTGTAATCAATAATAATTGTATACATTTTAAACATTAGCACTCTGGGCTCTATCCTGGCCATTTGTGGCCACTTCACTCAAGATTCACTTTTTTTTTTTTTTTTTTTTGACTGCTGCACTGCAGTGGACCAAAAGAATGACACGGGTTTGATCTTAAGGATCTAATAGTTGTGTGTGTTGTGCATGACATTGCCACACAAATATGTATTTGCAAGATAGAGTAGAATAAATTATGACGCATCAAATATTACATAGGCTGCAGTGAATTTCTGTTGATACAGACTATTGAGCTTTGAGTTTCCCAGGCAAACTTAGCTTTGAAGCATATGCTAAAAACACTTTTACTCTTGTACACTTCATAACAAGACAGCATAACCAAAATATTAACAAAATATATATTATTAAAAAATTCAAAGCTGCAGCACATACAGCAACAAACACTGTTAGTAAATGTGTCCTGGAGTTTATGCAGGTACAGAATGTGCTGCTGCTGTAAATAAGCCTAACAGCTTCCAGATCACTTATTTTTCTGGACAGATGGTAGGAAGGGCATCACTGCTCATTTCTACAGTCTCCCAGATCTTGGAATACAATGCCTTTGTACCATGGAACCACTTCACAGTACTAGGAGTCCATTAAAACCTATAAAGAGAGTGATCCTGGAAGAAATGGGGCACACACTAGTGACCTCAACAATTGCAAGACAGCCTTTTCCCCGATGCTCAGATGGGGAAAAAAGGAACTTTCATGAAGACATTAGGACTTTATCACCGTTGAACAAAAATAATAGTGCATAATAATCAATGTTGATGTTAATCGATTAGATGTCCCAGACTCTACTATTAATAATACAGCAGTCCCTCGTATATTGCAGGAGTTACGTTCTAAAAATAACCCGCGGTAGGTGAAATCCATGAAGTAGCCAACTTTATTTTTTTACAATTATTATAGATGTTAAGACTGTAAAAACCCTTCACTACATGCTTTATGCACTTTTCTCAGACGGGCACGCTTCTTAATGCTCTCTGATCGCTATGGTAACGCGTAAATAGTTCTTTCAAAATAAGACACACAACTACAACCATACATTTCACACAGGAGCCTTTTATTTCTCAGCAGCATCATAAGTAACAAAATCACAATTTAGTTTTCGCTGTCAAGGTCGATTTAACTAAAGTTACGTGTTTCCGGCTACTGTGGAGGTCACGTGTTTCCGGCTACTGTGGAGGTCACGTGTTTCCGGCTACTGTGGAGGTCACGTGTTTCCGGTTACTGTAGAGCTCCACAGCGGCCGCAGCCAGATCCTCTCAAGAGCATCTGGCTGCAGACATCAGCTGGCGTCTTTGCCGTGACAGGAAATGACGTATCCGGAAAAAATGTGTCATTACTTCGCCGGAAGTAGTTTTTTTTTTCAGGTCATTACCTTCGCCGGAAGTAGTTTTTTTTTCTTGAATACGCTTTATTGACAAACCACAAAAGTAGTTTGAATTTTTCAAAACCATACCGTGTTGTTTTTCTCTTCGATTTGTACATATTTAAGAGAAAAATTACACGGTGGGTCATTACCTTAACCAGAAGTCATTACTTTCACTGGAAGTAGTTTTTTAAAAAACAAAACTTACCGGAAAAAGCTTTTAATTTCGGATTTTTTTTTCTCTTCAGATCTGGACTGGCAAACTTAAGTAACGTTGTTACCTGCGTTGCATGAAAATTGAATATTAAATCCCTTTGTTTTTCAGACAGGGAATTTTTATGACAGTAGCACATACATACACACACACATGTATATATGTATACAGGTGCTGGCCAGTAAATTAGAATATCATCAAAAGGTTGAAAATATTTCAGTAATTCCATTCAAAACGTGAAACTTGTACATTATATTCATGCAATGCACACAGACCAATGTATTTCCAATGTTCATTACATTTAAATTTGATATTCATAAGTGACAACTAATGAAAACTCCAAATTTGGTATCTCAAAAAATTAGAATATTCTGAAAAGGCTGAATATAGAAGACACCTGCTGCCACTCTAATCAGCTGATTTACTCAAAACACCTGCAAAGGCCTTTAAAAGGTCCCTCAGTCTTGTTTTGAAGGCACCACAATCATGGGGAAGACTTCTGACTTAACAGCTGTCCAAAAGACAATCATTGACACCTTGCACAAGGAGGGCAAGACACAAAAGGTGATTGCTAAAGAAGCTGGCTGTTCGCAGAGCTCTGTGTCCAAGCACATTAACAGACAGGCGAAGGGACGGAAAAAATGTGGTAGAAAAAAGTGTACAAGCTCTAGGGATAACCGCACCCTGCAGAGAATTGTGACGACAAACCCATTCAAAAATGTGGGGGAGATCCACAAAGAGTGGACTGCAGCTGGAGTCAGCGCTTCAAGAACCACCACGAGGAGACTCATGAAAGACATGGGATTCAGGTGTCGCATTCCGTGTGTCAAGCCACTCCTGAACAAGAAACAGCGCAAGAAGCGTCTCGCCTGGGCCAAGGACAAAAAGGACTGGACTGATGCTGAGTGGTCCAAAGTTATGTTTTCTGATGAAAGCAAGTTCTGCATTTCCTTTGGAAATCAAGGACCCAGAGTCTGGAGGAAGAGCGGAGAAGCACAGAATCCACGTTGCATGAGGTCCAGTGTAAAGTTTCCACCGTCAGTGATGGTGTGGGGTGCCATGTCATCTGCCGGTGTTGGCCCACTCTGTTTCCTGAGGTCCAGGGTCAATGCAGCCGTCTACCAGGAAGTTTTAGAGCACTTCATGCTTCCTGCTGCTGACCAACTTTATGGGGATGCAGACTTCACCTTTCAACAGGACTTGGCACCTGCACACAGTGCCAAAACCACCAGCACCTGGTTCAAGGACCATGGTATCCCTGTCCTTGATTGGCCAGCAAACTCGCCTGACCTTAACCCCATAGAAAATCTATGGGGTATTGTGAAGCGGAGGATGCAATACGCTAGACCCAACAATGCAGAGGAGCTGAAGACGACTATCAGAGCAACCTGGGCTCTCATAACACCTGAGCAGTGCCACAGACTGATCGAGTCCATGCCACGCCGCATTACTGCAGTTATTGAGGCAAAAGGAGCCCCGACTAAGTATTGAGTGCTATACATGCACATTCTTTTCATGTTCATTCTTTTCAGTTGGCCAACATTAGAGAAACAAACATTTTTTCATTGGCCTTTAGAATATTCTAATTTTCTGAGATACCAGATTTGATGTTTTCATTGGTTGTCACCTATAAATATCAAAATTAAACGTAATAAACATCGGAAATACATTGGTCTGTGTGCATTGCATGAATATAATGTACAAGTTTCACGTTTTGAATGGAATTACTGAAATATTTTCAACCTTTTGATGATATTCTAATTTACTGGCCAGCACTTGTATATACACACACAATAAAAGGCTGTAAAGTGAATTAAAAAAACATATGGATAAAATGAGAACACGTTAAACTAAGACTTTTCAAAATGTGCAAACAAAATAGTACTTGCTAAATATTCAGTTTTATTGTTAAGCCCAAGATGAACTTTTGACCTACACCAATTGCTAAATACAGGACTCCCAGAAGCAGTGAAAAACATTTCAGCAACACTCCTCTCTCACCAGCAACAAAAATTAGTTATTAAATATCCATAACACTGTCCTATTGTGTATCACAGCAGCTCATTGCAACAGAATTTAACTACTACAGCTGATAACTATTTAGCTAGTTGGTATTTATTTTGAGTGAAAGACAATAAAACCAAAGAAACACTTAATTTCACAACCATTTTATTTTGGGTACAAATGAATTTGCTGAAGCATGGCTTTCTCAGCTGCATATCGATTCATCCCCTCCCATTTTTCCAACACTTTTATTGTTACCTGAAAAACATGCAGGATTACTTCATCGTCGTCGTCTTCCTCCGCTTATCCGGGTCCAGGTCGTGGGGGCAGCATCCCAACTAGGGAGCTCCAGACCGTCCTCTCCCCGGCCACCTCCACCAGCTCCTCCGGCAGGACCCCAAGGCGTTCCCGGACCAGATTGGAGATGTAACCTCTCCAACGTGTCCTGGGTCGACCCGGGGGCCTCCTGCCAGCAGGACATGCCCGAAACACCTCCCCAGGGAGGCGTCCAGGAGGCATCCTGACCAGATGCCCAAACCACCTCAACTGACTCCGAGTCCCTCGCGGATGTCCGAGCTCCTCACCCTATCTCTAAGGCTGAGCCCGGCCACCCTATGGAGGAAACTCATTTCGGCCGCTTGTATCCGCGATCTCGTTCTTTCGGTCATTACCCAAAGCTCATGACCATAGGTGAGGATTGGGACGTAGATCGACCGGTAAATCGACAGCCTGGCTTTCTGACTCAGCTCCCTCTTTACCACGACAGATTGGTTCGGCGTCTGCATCACTGCAGACGCCGAACCAATCCGCCTGTCGATCTCCCGATCCCTCCTACCCTCACTCGTGAACAAGACCCCGAGATACTTAAACTCCTCCACTTGAGGTAGGACCTCTCCCCCGACCCGGAGTTGGCAAGCCACCCTTTTCCGGTCGAGAACCATGGTCTCAGACTTGGAGGTGCTGATCCTCATCCCAGCCGCTTCACACTCGGCCGCGAACCTACCCAGCAAGAGCTGAAGGTCAGAGCTGGGTGAAGCTAGGAGGACCACATCATCCGCTAAAAGCAGAGACGAGATTCTCCTGCCACCAAACTCTGTTAAGGATTACTTCATACACTGTCAAATGTTTTCGAAAAGTAACTTTTATACCAATCACTGCTGAAGACTGCGTTGTACCTCTGGAACAAGGACATCAAACACCAAGTCCAGAAACTGGAACTCTCCCTTCTTTATTAGTTTATCTATTCCTGGGCATGAACCAATCCGCTCCGTCAGCTCGTCAACCTATAAAACACGTTAACAAAAAAATGAACAAAACGTTCCTCTCAGCATTAGACAACGGACCCAGGTGGCCCACTAACCACGCATCCACATAAATAAATGTGATGCAGCTTATTGTAAGTCAGTATACATTTACCTGTGCATCAGCAAAGTGGAACATCAGTGGCTTTAGTCTTTGCTTTAATTTAAGCGAGACACCTGGATTGTGCCACAGATACATGAGGCCAGACTTCACTCCACCGCTGCAGAGATCCTTATACAAAGTCTGAGTAGAGACAAGAGTTAAAAATTAGCAACATTACCACAGAAAACAAGGGATTGCATTATCCTATGTCCAATTTTAGAGTCTTAAAATATTATAATTAAACATTACCTTGATTTCACCATCTGAAATCACTGCCTGGGTTCCATTTTTCAAAGCCTCGATTGTCCTGTAATTTAGATAAAAATACATCTTATTAGCAAATGAAGAATACAAGCACATGTAAGGAGTTTTGTCAGTGTCACTTGAAGAAGTCCAATATTCATTTTAGATCTATATTTAAGGCCTCTAACTCCTGAATGATTTGCAGCTACATGTGCTTAAATCCGGTAATATTAATATAAACCAAACCCGATCAAAGCAGTCAGTCGACAAAAATATCTATTTTTTATAAGGTTAGGATTATTCTGAAACAGAATCAGAAGGAGGGCGGCATTAATTAGAGAAGCGGCTACTATTTCAAAGTTATTGTACCTGTTGCAGGACACCTGAATTGTGCAACCACAGTAGAATGACCCAGCACACCACACACAATAACTGAAAAATATTTAGAGATATTGAAAGCTAAGCTTGTCCAGAAAAAAAAAAAAAAATTTCTGGGTGCACAGGACCAGTTCCAGTGTGGGCCAGATGCTGAAAAATAAATTGATAAATCTGTCTTTTTTGAAGTTTCACAAACCAGAGGAAGGTTTCACAAATCACAAACTATGTTTTATGCATTCCTACGAGCCCAGAATAATCTAAAACAGGTTTGAAGAGTGTATGTATTGTAGGTTTTGAGCTAGAGCAGAATAAAAATGGTCAGAGTAGAGAAAAATTGGGTGTATTAGCCCTTTAGCCATTTCCCGAATCGGAAGCTAACTTTAGCCTCCTATGAAAACTAGAGATTGAAATCACTTACAAATCTCTGAAAATCTATGCTTTTTGATTAAAAAAGGGTATTAATAACGTTTCAGTCAAGTCAGTATTAGAAATCGTGGACTTTATATCATATCTAAATTATATATAAAGTTAATATTATTACTTTAACTGTTTTAACAAACAGGGAGACCAGAAAAATCAAATAGCTAAGTTAAAGCTAAGCTACAATTGCTGATAGCTTTATTTATGTAGCTTTTGTGTTAGCTAGCTTGTGATCTCCCTGCATTCGTTAATATTGATACAATTAGCTATGAAACACGGTGCCTTTGCAATAATTCTCTGGTAAAGCTTTAAACGCTATAGTGCCTACATTTAAGAACTAAGAACGGTTGCAACAATTAGTTAATTTCATCCTTATCTTTCTTTCTTTATCTATCATCCTTATCCTTACCTTTCCTCAATTGAAACCCGCCGAGTATGGTTGAAACGAAAACAACGTAGCGGCCGCCAAAAAAGGACCAACTTCCTGCCGAGGTCTTTCACTCGTCGATTTTCCGGTTAAAGTAATGACACGCCATCTTGCTCTCGACACACCAGCTGATGTCTGCAGCCAGGTCCTACTCGATCCTCTTGCCTCAGAAGCCTAGCCAGTGTCAAGTTTAGCCGAATTATCAAGTGCGCTTCCGCTGCCTTTCAAAGTAAAACCTCTCTCCGAACTCTCTGCGTTTATCTTTCACTGTTTGGAAAATAACAAATTAAAGCCATGTTTGCATTTTGCGGGTCTTTTAACGAAGTTAATGAAAATTTTCAATTTATTTTACAATGTTTTCCATGTTTTAACTGTTATTGTGAAGGTACAAAGCACAGTTTCCGGGTTGTGGCTGGGTTCCGGTTCCATAGCTGGCGATGGCGGATGTTGTTGAGAATGACAGCATGAAGAATTATCAAATAGCGTCTGAGAAAATCAACCCGGCGGATTGTCGCTATCCTTATTGCATCGTCTGGACACCCATCCCCGTTTTGTCGTAAGTTATGTCCGCTTGTGTTGGTCAGTCAGCTTTTTAGAGAGACGGAACAAAAGTAAACAACCTTCATAAGCTAAGCCGGAACTGCTTTCTCACACACGGTTGTTGTGCGTCTATTCCTACAAATATAACCCCGGAATGCTTTCTTAAAATATACTTGATGGCTTTGAACAGACTTGCTTGGACAGAGTAAAATACGGAAGAAAACAAGCTAGCAAACAAAACGGGTTGAAGGTTTTACGACCCCAAACTCGTGACGTACAAACCACGTAGTGGTTACTCTATTAGAGTTGTGTTATTATGCGTTTACTTGCAGTAAACCCTAAATAATTGTCTGTTTTTACGAGTTTGGACTCATTTGTGCCATTTTTCTCATCTACAGCTTACTCGATTTTAAATCCATTTAAACAGTATCAAGAAAAAAAAACAAATTTAAGGAAACTGTTTTAGAATCTGATTTATTATGATCTATTTGCGATGTTTACTGACCCCATTTCGCTGCAGATGAAGATAATTAATTATAAGTTAAAATATCAAACGCTTGAGTAAAATAAAAATAATAACAATGATTTTTGTTTATTTCTCATGCAGATGGCTGTTTCCATTTATTGGTCACATGGGAATCTGCACTTCCACTGGAGTCATCCGGGACTTTGCTGGACCCTACTTTGTCTCTGTGAGTAATGACTGTGTTGCTTGAAAGGGTAACTGCTCTAAGGTGACAGAAAATAACACTACACATAGTTGAAGTTCACACAGGATGACGGCTACACTCTTTGCACACAAAAGGGCAAAACTACATGACATGAGCTTTCATGGCATACATTTCTGAGTAAAGTATAATTTAAACAAATCTGAAGAGCCAAATTCTTAAACAGCTTTGATAGAAATAAAAACTAATGGTAACGCTTCCTTTTACAGTCCCCTTATTACTAAGCACTTACATGGTAATGACATAGTAAGTTAAAGTGTATTATTCTTTCTGAGTTCTTAAACAGTTATTGTCCCTCGTTCTCCTCCACCTCTTTTTGTTTTTATTTGTATTAATCGTTTCCAGTAAATACTGCTTTAAACTATAATTACACTTTATTACAATTATACACTTTAGTTACACAATAATACACTTGAACTCACTATGCAATTACCATGTAAGTACTTAGTAATTAGGGGACTGTAAAAGGAAGCGTTACCAAACTAATATCTTTGGAGGCCATAATTTTTAGAAGTCGCATGCTAATTGTCTCTGCTTAAAAGCATTTTAAATTCAACCCTTTGTTGTTATTGATTTGTGGAGCGTTTTATCAAAGTGTTGAGTTTTTGTTTAAGGAACACTTTAGTTTCCCGCTTAAAAACCCCGCAGTCGTAGTGGCCGGCCGCCATCTTGGAAAGGTCTCTATTTTACCCCAGTGCGTTCATCTCTACAGAGTAAGGTATGGCATGACAATTAAAATATAAATAAACAAAATAAATTTAAATGTAAAATCCTATCAGGTAGGCCAGAAAAGTCACTAGTAATCCCATGTGATCTGTTTTCAATTGTACGCTGGTTGTTGTAACTGTAGGCTGCACAGAAACAGGCAGAGTTGCTCACTCTGCATTGACTTTGGAGAGTGAGGAGACTCATCCAATATGGCCGTAAAGCTGTTACACTCTCCAGCGCCCATATGTATTCATATCTATGCCTGCAGCAGCTTGCTGTACCTGGTGCTAACAGCAAGCTAATGCTAACACAAACGTACCTATTACTAAAGCCTGATTTATGCTTCTGAGTCTGCGTCGGTACAGAGACACACAACTCCATTATCATCTTTGTGAGGACTCTCCGGCAGGCTATAGAGTCAAGCCCGTCGAGCCCACTTTTCTAAACATCCGTCAAGCGAGACGGAGAATGCAAGCTTGTGATTGGTCAGGACACCGCTTTTGTCAACAGCACCACCATTGCGCCCTCAAAAAAAAAAGAAAGCCGAAGAGATCTAGCAACAGACACAGAGAAGCTTGAAGAATACTTTGCAGAAAAACTCTTAAAATATAAAGGTTTCATTGACCCGTGACTGGATGAGTAAAAAGATACAAAGCAAGCTTTTTATTCGTGGATGGAAATGACAGGAAAAGTGGGTTTAGAGGTGGCGAGTGCATGAAGAGGTGGAGGAGAACGAGGGACAAATTTCTCTGTGTTAAAAAAGTATCTAAAATACTAAAAACTGTACACTATCTTGGACCAGATACGTGACAGGATACACCAGAGCAGCGCTATGCCCTCTGTTGTCCTGGCGGGGAAACGGAAAGGTGCAAGAGCAAAACATTTCTGTCAATGCGCGTGCATCTTTCCCTTCATGTGGAGATGACGGAGAAGCATTTAGGCTTAAATAAGCCACAATGTCAAAAAACAACACTATTTTTACTTACATATCCAGTGGCAGCAAAGCCAGGCCACCATTGGTCCATGATTTCATAGCTTCCATCAGCTCCCTCAAACTAGTGTATGCCGGGCCAATGTTCACACTGGTTTTAGCTCTTTACTTCCCCTCCGAATACATCACTCTCCTCCTTTTTACTGCCAGGCTGTGCCTAATATGCAAAATTCTTCTTCTGCTTTTTACTGACGGTCATCAATTTCAAAAAGCCAACAGCTTTTACAGCAAGGCTTGAAAATGTAAGCATGTAAAAGGCCAGAAATCTTGAGGAAACAGCTAAACACTTGTTTTTATTTTACAGGAAGACAATATGGCTTTTGGGAGACCTACAAAGTAAGCAAACCTTAAAATAGTTCCATTGTTTTTAAAATGGTGAGAGCTAAACTGTAAGTTTAACATGTGATCACACTGCAGGTACTGGATGCTTGATGTAAGCAAAGTGTACACGAGTGGCTCTAATGCCTGGGACAGATCAGTCCACGATGCCTCTGAGGAGTACAAACACAGGATGGTAACTACATGACTTAGTTTGTGTTTGTTTTATTAGGGCAGACGTAAGGGTGGTAATCAGTCTTTCTTTTCTTTTCTTCCATAGCACAACCTGTGCTGTGACAATTGTCACTCACATGTCGCCATGGCGCTGAATCTGATGCAATATGAAAACAGCACGTCGTGGAACATGGTCAAACTCTGTCTCCTCGCTTTTATTCATGGAAAATATGTCAGGTAAGACAGATTCTGTGTAGTCCAGCAGGATTTGCCCTCAGGTTGCTGAAAAGACCATCTCTGCATTCTTAGTGTTTGCACTGCAATAAATTTGACACGAGTGTCCATCTTCTCACCTTTACTTCCTGTGTTGTGTCCCCTCCACTGGGTTCTCTGGGCCCAATCCAGCTGTGTTGGCTTTTTGAAGACCTGGCTGCCTTTCATGATGCTCGTAGGTGTCATCCTTACAGTCGCCCTGGCTCTGAACCTCTGATGACTCAGCGCGGTGGGGTAAGGACATAGTGGGACTCCGCTGAGGCGTTTGGACACCAGTGGAAGGAGGCGTCATCACACTGTGTCAAACAAACGTAACCAAGGATGTGAACACCGCTCACAGCCAGGAGTGGGTTATTAGTGTTGAAGCGATATCACATTAGGGATGGTCATCTGTTTGTAACCATCCACTCTGAGACTCTTATTCTACGTCTGCGACCACAAAGTCCTCACCATCTGTGCTGTCATACAAACAGTTTCAAAACACCTCTATATAGTTGAGTTTCTAGAGAAACGTGGTTTGGCGGGATATCCCATGATTCAGTGCTTCCAGACAACTATTATTTCCTCTGATGGGCTCAAACGTTTCATCATTTGGTGTTCTTTTTTTCTTGCATTTCCTGCTTGATTCTAATCCTACTTCTGACACTTAAATTAAAGGTCCGGCGTGTATTCTCCTATTTGTCCCGAGTTTGTTTAGCTGATATATTATTACACAGTGCATCAAGTAAAGGAAATATTACTGGGAAGTATTGTACATGTTTGATTGCATGGTAATAATTGTAAGTGTGTCCTAAACACTGTTTTCTTTTCACCCTTATCTTTTTTCCATGAGAAACCCAACAGTCAGTGCCTAAAGATCGCCTCTGTCACAGATCCTTTTCATGTGCTGCGTTTTCAGTTTTATGGTTTTAAAAAAACTCAACTCTGCATAGTGGCTCGCACTCTAAATCCGTCGTCATGGTTTCTGTAAGCAGACCCAAATCCTATCATTGTTTGCAACCAGAGGGAGAAGAAAGTGTTGAGCCCTCTCTGTGTGTGTGTGTGTGTGTGTGTGTGTGTGTGTGTGTGCGGTGCTTCCAGGAGCAGCAGGTAGCCAGAATCCTCAGGTTTTCCATGCGATCCTTACTTTCCCCTCAGTGGCTGAGCAGCATCGTTCCTGCCAGAGATGGAGTACTTCTGTCCTAGACGGGGATTTAAATCACATTTAAGAGTCTTGTGACTAGACTCAAGGAGCAAACCAATGACTTCCACTTGGACTTGCAAGGTTATGACTTAGCCTTAGACTTGAACTCTGACTTGTACACGTGTCCATGTGCATGATACTTCAGCCTTCTTGCCTGCTGGTGGTGGTCGGAGGGACCAGTGATACCTTCACTGTAGCTCATTACCTCCAGTGTGTGAATGGGTGTGATTGTTGTGTAGCACCTTGGGGAGCTCAATGAACCTAGAAGACTTGTATAAATACATGCCATCCACTATCACTACATTACCGCTGATGTGTTGGGTTGAGGAGATACTTTAATAGAATAAATGGCACATAAATACAGCTGCGAATAAAATATCCACAAACCTAATGGGACAACATAAATACACTGCCCAGCCAAAAAACTAAAATATAATTGCCCATGCAGTAATTATCCAACAGGAGGCTCGTTCCTATTGGCTTGGTTAAATCCAGGTGGTGACCTTTTTTGCCAGGCAGTGTACGATCCCATATTCAATCTCAGCTTTTCTGATTATGTTAACTGTAATGCTGTTGTGTGACTTTTTTCCCAGCTCCAACCTCTGAGGTAAAAAGAGTGCAGCATTATATAACAAGCTAGCATTAGCATGCTAATTTCACCATAGCAATTTGGCCTGATTTTCTGGGTGCAAATGTAACAAGTGGCATTTGAAATTGGATGATGGACTGGAAGATTCTTGGACTTGACTTGGCCTGCGTGACCTGACTGTCTACTTTGACGAATCCTTTGTGACTTGGACTAGGACTTAGACTTGAACACTTTGAACTAGAGAGATGGTGACTTCTCTTTAGGGCGGACTTCATGGTAATTGTCAAATATCAGCACTGCTTCTTAAAGCTTTGAAAATATGCCAACAAGCATCCAGTAATGGTCCAAAGTAAGCATTAGTTCAGAGAAAGTGTGTCTGAGGTAAGGCTGAGTACAGTACCAGTACCACCAGTGACCTACTGGGACTCTGGTTTGTTTTTGTTAGACTAATCCTCGTCTACATCAGGTGCTCTTCTTAAAACTTTATTTCATCACTCAGCCTATAGACTTTTATTATTGCTGTACTGTTTTTACTCCACTTTTGCTTACCCTTTGATTTGTGCCTAAAGGTGTGTGCTGCTTGTTCACAGATGGGGGGTGGGAAGAAGCATGCAGTTGCATGAACATATTTTTGTGTTGCCTGCTTGCAAAAAGATGAGCAAAACAGTTTGAGAGTTGTTCGAGGTTAACTCGAGGCTGAGGCTTCCTTAAACAGACAGAAATTTATCTTTTGATTAATGTTTGCCTATAAAATATCAGCTTTTCTTTGATGGCTGTGTGACTTAATGATGGAAGACCGGATAAAAAAGTGTTGTCGTGTTGGTTGAATATCTAAGTGTGCTCATTCCATCACATTTTACATTCGTGCTCAGGTAGCGAGAGAGCGGGACATCTAGTCTAAAAAACAAAACAATGTCACACCTGTGGTAGTTTTATTTACTCTGAAAATGTCAGCTAAATTATCCATGACTGGAATTTAGAAAGCAGCTCACCCATTACAGCTCAGGCTCATGTATGTAAAAACATGTACAAAATAAGTTTTTTATGGGAAATCATGCACAAGAATGCAGCGCTGAGTGGATGAGTCTGAAACGGTTTTAGAAATCACCTGCTGTGGCGTCTTGTCGTATCCAGGAGCCCGGTCCAGGAATGTAGAAACCTGTGGTCCCGCCAGTCGGGTCTCCATTATCAGTGCCACTATCTACACTAACGTTAGTCTGCTGATTCCCGACTCCTTCTGTTTCTCTAATCCTTCAGATGTTGTTTCATGCTGCAGATCACAAGGCAGCTTGGGAATCAACAAATCCTGCAAGAAGCAACTGTGAACTCTGAATGTGTTCATGGCTTAAAGTTGTAATACCAATAAAGATGTTTATTATTGTAGAAATGTGTGTTTTTATTTTTAGATCACCGTTCTGAAGTATTGACTATCAGAGCTGTCGGCTTGAGCCATGGCATCTCCCTTCTCTCTCCCTCCGTCATTCTCGTGGGTTTATGTGACCCTTAACTGCATTTCAAGCTCTCTGGTCCATCCTGGCCATTTTGGGGCTTTTAGTTTGTTTTGCCCATTTGAACTGTAAATGCAAATGGAATACGATTTCCCAAGGCTCTGGACTTTTTTCAAGCTTTTTTATTTTCAACTTCAAATATTTAAATAATACACTGTAGTAATCAGTGTTCCTCTTGACTTGATGGTGGCCATTTTGGCCAATTGTAACCCATGAAAACATTTTAAATTTCTTGTTTTTTTAAAGACCAAGTTCACAGAAAAAAACATTTTTACTTGTTTTTTTTAAATATGAATTATCACTCAGAGTTTAACATACAGGATAAATAGTGAAACAGTGCTCTTTAAAAAACTTTAGGGGACATGCGTTGGAAAAATTCACCTTTTGCTTCTTTTATGCTGCCATTTCTACTGCCTATATAAACACTTCAAACATGAAAGAAATGCCCATCTGTTTTCTGGTTTAACAATTATATGCCTAAAACAAGCTGTTTAAAAAATACCCTGTTTGTGATGTCACAGGTGGGGAAATTAGAATAAAACCAGTTCTATCCTGGAATAGAGCAGCTACTACTCCAAGCCCCTCCCGGTTATTGGAGCTTCTCAGCTTGTAGCAGCCATGAGCAGGGGAGGGGTGGGCGTGGCCAGCTCCAACTTGTTTTCTTAAAGTAACAGAGCGCTTAAACGGCTCACTCTGGAAGGTCAAGAATTAAACTGCAAAATGCACTTTATATGGGAGGGATTTTGTCCAAAGAACTTCATAAACATGTTTTGTATAGACCATAGAACTGTTATTACTAAAAAAAACACATAATGTCTCCTTTATCTTCATCAGTTGCCTTATAGACTTGTTATAACTGTACTTTTTTACTCCACTTTTTACTTAATCTACTCAGTTTTACACCAAAATTCCCCCACTGAGGGACAATAAATGACTTTGCCACTGAAACACGTCAGCTTTTCTCTTTTGATCGCTGTGAGATGATGCAAAAGTGCCGAGTTGTGTTAGTAAAATATCTGCAAGTTTGTAGCCTAATGAACTAGACCAAATTCTTGCTTTGCAAAGAATGGTCTAGGCATGCTCCATTGGAACCTCAGCAGCTCCTACCAGGACTCTGGCTAGCCAATCACAGCTCTCTAGATGGTTTCAAACACATAAAGAGCTGTGATTGGTCCATAATGGTGGGCCAATCATAGTGCTCTATCTGCTTAGTGAACAAATCACAGAGCTTTATCTGCTTTGTGGGCCAATCAGGGCACTCTATGTGCCTGGTGGGTGGGATGATGCAACAGAGTGAAACAAGAGTATGTCACATTCATTGTCCAGTGGAATGAGGAGATCATTTGAAAGACAACGGTAGAACCCGCCCCACAACCGAGAGCCGTCAATGGAGCATGGCCAGACTAAATAATACATTTATTTAGTCTGGCTTGCCAGGCTAGCAAGTTTGCTCATTCCATGAAATGTTACATTTATGCTCAGGTAAAGCCGGGCGTACACTGTGAGACTTTTTCACTTTTTTGAGCCGATTTTCCACGAAAATCCACGAGATTGGGGGGAGTTTTGCGCCGAGCGCCGCGTGTACAGGGGGTTACGAGAGGCGATTAACACCACGTGACCAGCTACCGATCAGCAATCGTGAGCTCGCACAAACTTCTGGCGCGTTTGATATTTCGCTTGTCCCTCGTGAGGGTATCGCACTGTTGAAGCGGTGCTGCGAGCAGCTGCGACCCAAAAAGTATCAGAACCGCTCACGGCGCATGCGTAATCCTGCATCAACACCGCTCACCCGCTATTTCCCTAATAACACACGCTGTTCATTTTTGTTTCTACACGTTTTTTTTACTCACAGAGATTGTCAAGAAAGCGTGTTTGTCGTGTTCATGTCAAATTAAACTGATGACTAAACACAGATTTACTTTCTTTATTTCGTTTTCCTCATCCAACCCCCATAAACCCCTGTGTGTCCTCCTGCAGCACTCCCGAAGGACAACAGGCAAAACAAGACAAAACAGTCTGACGTGTTGAGTAAAAACTGCTATTTTTAGCACATTTTTAGGTCCGACGTGTTGCTACCAGACGTATGAGCGCATGACTCGTGAGATCTGCCCTGCGAGGAAGTCGTACAGTTTGAGCTGAAGCTGAGTGCTACAAGTGAAAAAGTCACACAGTGTCCGCCCGGCTTTAGAAAGGGGAAATCTAGTCTAAAAAACAAAAAAAGTTAAACCTGTGGTAATTTTATTTACTCTGAAACGTCAGAAGTGGAAGCGGCTCACTCATTAAAGGAAGCGGCTCACTCATTAAAGCTCAGGCTTGTGTATAAACATACAAATAATTTTTTTAATGGGAAATCATGCACGAGAATGCAACGCTGAGACTGAAACGGTTTTAGATATAACCTGCTGTGGTGCCTTGTATCCAGGAGCCCAGTGCAGGAATGTAGGAACCTGTGGTCCCGGAGGGGCTGGCCCATGTGGCTGGGGAGAGGGAAGTCTGGGCCTCTCTGCTCTGGAAATGTGTTTTTCTTTATAGATGACCTTTTTGAAATATGACCTTGTTTCATCAGAGCTGCCAGCTTGAAGTATGGCGTGACCACCTGCTCTCAGAGTGAATTTGGACCACCCCTGTTTTTGAGAAGGGAAATAAATGATGGCTGGGGAACTGTAGTCATTTTCCAACATTGAATAATCATAATAGACCAGGAAAGGAAATCTATCACCTTCACCAATAATAATTACGGAATTACATTTTTGGGGTAGTATTGAAAGGAGAATTTTGTCTTTCATCTTAAAAAGTTTGGACCCCACAACTCTAGAAGTTTATACACTCATGTAAATCCTGTAAAAATCCGTAGAGGAGGTGGGAAGCCTAATCCCACAGAGGTCTCCTGGCACCCACCCCCATGTTTACACCACATGGGGAGTTGGGAAGGCAGAAACAAAAAGAAGCCTTTCCTGTTTCAGTAATCTAATCATGAAGATCTAAACTGTAGGCGCAGGTGAGGGATTATTGGTCCGCTCCATGAGAAAGTCCTGAGAAGGGTCCGCTCCCCCTCCTGAGCGGAACTCGGACCGGCAGCCCCTCCCCGCGGACCCACGCACCAGACCATAGTTTCCTTTAACTGCATTGTTGGGGGAAGAAGCCACGGCAGAGAGGATCAAACAGTCCCAGCGGTCGGTACGAGCCCAGATCTATTCTCATGGAAATCAGACCCTGCCTCCAGGCGGCACTTTACGCGCAGATGCAGCGCTGAAGGCGCATTCCCATCTAGGACGGCGCGTGATGAGGGAGTCTCTGTGTTCCTGATTTCTTCCTTTATTGCCCCGTTATTTTCCCGTTTCTCTGCTGCTGCCCGCCTCCCTTTGCAAAATGCAGGAGTTCACGCGCTGCCTTGTTTTCTGCGCGCTCCTGGGCCCCGTTTACGCATCGTGCCCGCCGCGCTGCGAGTGCTCAGAGGCGGCGCAAACCGTCAAGTGCGTCTCCAAAGACCTGCGGAGCGTGCCCACTGGGATCCCCGGATACACCAGAAATCTGTTCATAACCGGGAATCAGATCAGCCGAGTCGGTCCGGAGTCCTTCATGGGTCTGAGTAATGTGACCAACCTGTCCCTGAGCAACAACAGGTAAGGATGCAGTTAGAGCTTTTTTTATCTGTCATCATAAAAAAATGTATGTATGTATATATATATATATATATATGTGTGTGTGTGTGTGTGTGTGTGTGTGTAAATACACACATACACACATGTGAATACATCCATTTATGTATCTGAAAATTTTGAATGTGGATTTCTTCCGACCCAGAATTTCCGAGGTTGAATCCCACAGCTTCGCTGGACTCCTCCGCCTTCGCTCCCTGGATCTGAGCAGCAATCAGCTGGCTGTCATCCATCCTGAAGCCTTCACGTTTCACAACCAGTCTCTGCGAGAGCTCAACCTCAGCCGGGCTCTCTACAACCGCTCGTCGGTGACAGCCCTGGCTACGTCTCTGCGCTGCAGCTCCATGGGGAGCCTGCGGTCCCTGGACCTATCTGACAACAGCCTCATCTATTTGCCTTCTCATGTGTTTTCCCACCTGAGCAGTCTGCGGAGACTCCAGCTCTCCAACAATTCTCTGGTGGCCATCCACAACTCTACCCTGTCTGGTTTGGAGCAACTTCAGGAGCTTGACCTGATGCTCAATGCCCTGAAGACACTGACTGAGGAGAGCCTGCGAGAGCTGGACTCCCTACCCAACGCTGCTCTTCTTCTGGGGGAAAACCCTTTCACGTGCACATGTGAGATTGAGCCTTTTGCCCTTTGGCTCAACAGGTCACAGGATCGCATCAGAGATGCCGAAGACCTGGTTTGTTCCTTCCCAGCCAGCATGAGGAACACCTCCATACTGGCTGCGGGAACGCTAACTCTGGGATGCTACCAGAGGGATGCAAGAGCAGATCTTGCTTTACAGACCTCTTACGTCTTCTTGGGAATCGTTTTGGGTTTCATAGGCCTCATTTTTCTATTTGTGCTTTACCTTAACCGCAAGGGGATCAAGAAGCGTGTGTACGACATGCGGGATGCCTGCAGGGAGGTGTGGGAAGGCTACCACTACCACTTTGAAGTAGACTCTGACCCCAGGTTGTCACAGGTCTCCACAGATGCAGAGATATGAGAGACAATCAATTTTTCTCTTATCAAAATTACTTTTCATGAATGCATTTGTCAGCAGCTGATTGTAACAAAACATACAGATGTGTCTGTAAATATGCACCAAACAGTATTTCTATTAGCCTTGTTGGATGAAGCATGCACTCTTGAGCTCAGTGGAGAAAAGAAAAAATGACATTTTTCACTTTTTCAGTAAAACTAACATAAAGGGAAGTGCCTAGAGTCGGCTCAGCGTCCAAATTAAACCCAAAACACTGAGATTTTCTGTTCCTATTTAGGTAAAAACAGAAAACACACCACTGCATTATAATTCTAACACTATCAAAACAAACCTTTAGGAATTTAAAGCACAAACAGACTCATTCATCTTTGATCCTTTTCAAGCCCTTTTGGTCCATTTGGCCTCCCTACCCCAGGGTGCCAAAGAGGAATTAACTCACCAAAAGCTTTTTCTCCCCAAAGCTCCACTTAAAACCTGCTTTTCTTTGGCTGTTGGATTAGAAGGAAAGGAGACAATTCAGCACAGGCCAACGGAAATCTCTCCACCCCTTCATTTTTCCCCCTTCCTTCTTCTTCATGAAACTTTGCTTTGTTTCAACTCCTAGAGTTTTATTGTCAGGGTGATGAGAACCAGTCCTGCGCTGAGAGCAATCTGCCTCTCTCTTAAAGGAGGCTGTTTGAAGGAAACAGTCTGACTCTCCATGTTTTTCTGTTTAGGGCCTTTCTTTTCTTTTTTTCCACCCCGGTGATAAGATACAGATGATTCTGAAACACCAGCTACACTAGCCTCTTTCACAAAACACTTCAAGCTGGGCCAGAGACCCTTCTGGCTCTCTGGCTGAGATTCCTGAAAAGATTGAGTCAGCATGGGGGGTGCAGTTACACTGATGCCCTGAGGCACCTAGAGAGGTACTAACAGCTCCAAGCGACGCCAGTCCGTCTGAAGCCATGTGCACACCTAGCCGCGTTTTTATAAAACTGAATATCTTCCCCCTAAACTCGTCCCCCTTTACATTTATCCCAATGCGACTTGAACTGAGCGCTGCTCAGGACTAGCCAATAGCATTAAGCGTGGTTTATGCATGACACATTCACTGTCCGCTTGGTGATGCGGCTCGTGGATGGAACGCGCTTCACAGCTCGCAGCGTTTATGGTTCATGCGGCTCGTTTCTGCAGTGAGCCAATATCCTCCCAAACTGCAGGGGGCAGCATGGAGCTCCATGGCATGCATCCAACACTACACCATAGTAGAAGTAGAAATTACTGTTTACAACATGGCATTCCAGCATTTTTAACAGCGTCCTCGTCTTTTCCGACAGTGCGAGCTATTTCTCTCCAAGAATTATTAACAACATGTTGATCACGGTGATCTCTGAGAGCTGAATCATACAAATGTCTGTGTTTACGAACCTCTGCCATACTAGTTCTTGCCGGTCCGCCATGTTTTTCCGCCTCCGACCGTCCGCGTGGTTAGAAAATTTCCTAGGTGCGCGGTGCGGAAATTTTGGGCCATGCGGAGGTGCGGTGGAGGGGCGTGGTTGTTAAAATGACGCAATTTCGCCACGCGGACCCGTGCGGACCTCGCGGACGCGTCAAGCATAAACCAACCTTTAGACAACGGCCCACGTACAGGTGTCAATCATAAAGCCTCTTTTAGAAAAGAATGCTGCAAATTTACTGCAACGCTGCGGCAGCATCATGGAGGTTAAGATCGTTTATAAGTGGTCAGACCGTGGCGGTAATGTTGCGCTACCGAGTCCTATTTACAAAAGATTACTCCGTGTCGGTATAAAGGGGGGTGGTCTCTGCGCTGCCGTGGACTTCCGTTTAACTTGGACGTAACTTGCTTTTTATTGAGATCACAGCTGCGGCCATTAAGTTTTTTTAACAAGCCACCTGTCCTCCACAGTCCGTTTTTATTTTCATGTTCAATATAATTGCTGGCCGGACTGGAGCTCGGCAGTAACTCCGCAAGTGATCATGACAACACCTCTGTTACACCAAGGCGTATTATGCATTTACAAGTCTACGTGGTGGCATGCCGTGTTCATTAGGCACACCGTGGCGGCAGTATAACGCTGATTTGCCAGCATAGTGTGTCTTCTAAAAGGGGATATATAGCGTGTGACAGCATTTGAGGGAGTACCTCGACACAATCAGAGTTGGTGACACTTCGAATGGACAAGTAAGTCTTTAAAACATATGAATAAATACCCTAACATGAGAATAATAATGATTAAACAATGTGTTTCAGCTCTTATGGCCAGCTAGCGGTGTGCATTCATGAACGAGAGGGGTTGCTTTTCGTCATAAATATGAAAGTGGTGACAACAGTTTAAGGTGGAATACATGTCAGTTAAAAGATACTCTAGATTAATGCAAAAAGATCAAATGCCATGTGAAGCACATTCATTGGCACGCCAAGACTGTAGGTGGCAGTATATACCCAAATCGTCTGCAGTCTTCCCTTGTCCCTTGGAAATGGACAAAAAAAACATCTTCAACGTCGTCCTTCACTTATGTTTTTATACGATGAGCTGCAATAGAGCTTGTAAAAACAAGCGAGTAGAAACACAGGTCCTCAAGCAAATGCTGACAATGGAGAATTTGCAAAAAAGTCTTTTTTGGTGTTGTTTATCTGCTCTTTATGTGGACATCCGTAGAAAACATCTTTGTTTTTGTGAAACACCCAGCCTCATGTGTCCAGGGCTTGAGTGACCTAATAACCATAATCGTTGCTAATAACAACAGTGTCCGTTTTGGGGGAAAGTCATTTTTTTATGCAACATTGAAATCCCAAGTCTTTAATTTGACTCACATGTTCAAACTGAATGAGTTCCAGACGGCAGTATCACTCTTGTTTTGCTTCTTTCTAAATGACAAAAGCAATTCTCTTTGACGCTCCAAATTCAGATCAAAAGACGAGATGGCGACCTGCCATTCCTCAGTGTGTTTATTACCCAAATTACTGTGTGTATTTAGAGTGGATATGGGGCGGGGTTGCATCTGAGCAGCATCTTTATCCCATCAAGATGTCCAAACCTCTCTGAGAAGGATCCAGAAATGTTCACATCACGCTGGGGCCTTTTTGGTGTTTTGAAAACAGCAAAAATGAATGTACTCCTGTTGTTTGGACTGAAGTTTATATTTCCTCTTAGGCCAGTACTTAGTCGCTGAGATATCCCGTAAATTGGTAGCTCAGAGGGCGAGCGAGTCTAAGGGGCATAGCCATGATGCTCATTCCTTTTCTGCGTTTCTCAGTTATGGAATAGCATCTAAAAGTCAAGCGCGCCAGTCCAGCTGTTGATTAAAATCACATTATTGTTCATAACTGCATGTGGGAGGAAAATCCCAGGAGGAGTTTTGGTTTTACACAACACAACAGTTTGCTGCATGTCATTAACTCTCATTATACTCATTAAATTATGCAATAAACAGTCTTTCCGCTCTTTTTTATGAGTTACATTTGCTATAGGTTGTGTTTCCTGCAATGAATCACATCCAGACAGAAGAGAAGCTTGTTAAAAACTCAAATGACTCCTTCAGTTGCATCAAAGATCCCATCTTTGTTTCTTTCAAAGTTCTGAATTGCCACAAGTTATTTCCTTAGCTCACACCCCATCCCCTCCAACTGGAAACATGTTTGAAACTCGGGGGGTTTTGTGCGGCGTGTAGTTTGTGCAGAGTACACACCAACAGCAGGCTTTGATTTTATTTGCCCGCTGCGCTTGGAGAACATCTTGGCGCCATTACATGGATTTAATGACCTTGATAGGAAATATGCTTTAAAAGTCAGCAGCACATCTGTGAGGAATTGAACATGTTAAAAGGAGACCACAACAGTCAGCAGTATGACGACCGAGACAAAGGCCCCCTCTGCTGACACATTTGCTATGACTCGGTTCAGCACATCACGTTCTTTAGGATTCATTTGTGCTCAGAACCAAACCATGCTCACTCTAAACACCTGGCTTTATTGTTTATCTGATATAAAACTCTAACTTCCTCCATCTTTTCCAATGAAAAGGCAGAAGTGGGTGTTGTTATTGTGCTTCCTGCTATAGATCGTTGTGACCAGGCGAAGACCTCACATTTATCATGTTAATAAAGGCGTTAGCTAACCACATATGCACACACACACACACACACACACACACACACACACACACACACACACACACACACACACACACACACACACACACACACACACACACACACACACACACACACACACACACACACACACACACCAAATCTTTTTTGTTTTAAAAAAGGCTGAAAAAACAAATTGGAGCACCAATGCTCCGGTTTCCTAGCCTGGCAATTCATCCTATATATGTGAGTAGTCTGGCCACGACCCAAAGACAGAGCTCAGTCATAGGGCGGAATCTTGTCATGAGCTTGTCATGCTCATGGACAGCACAAAGGACCAATCAGAGCAATGAAAAATGTGATGTATTCACCGCTACTGAAATCAGTCAACGGGAAGAGTCCCCTATATAAGGTGGAAGAAACAAATATGTCTTTTTAAAAGTAAATGTACCTCTATGTGCTCAAAGAAATGCCCAAGCCTCGTTGACACCAAGTGCAGAACGGATGCAGTCCTGTTTCCGGGCGAACTGCCATTCAGACTGGCTACGGTTTGTGTGCTGATCGTCACCAGACATCTTCTCCCACAAGAGCACCGAATGATTAGAAACTTGACACAATCCGTTAAAAGAAATAAACCTGTAAAAATAATGTGAGCTATCATACACTGTGAGCTGATATAGCCATCATTAATAAAAAAGCAAAAGCTGGAAAAATAATGAGACACAGGTTTTAATTTCAAATATACTGGAGGCACCTTGCTCAAACACATCTCACTTCCTGTCTGGCACATGTAATTACTTTAAAGTGATAGTGTGTAATTTTCCTGACGATAGGGGCAGTAGATACCTAAATTGTTGCAAGCAAGCTGTATTTTCGTGTCGGAATAAGACCTTACCAACGGATGCCCATTAGGGTCAAAAAGCAAACTTCAGCAAAAAAAAAAAAAAAGCATGTCAGACTCCTTTTCATCACTGGCAACAAGTGAAGAGGTAAATGTGTAAAATAACAACTTTTATGAATGGTGAAATTTTGTAATCATTTGTTACAAATTAGCAAATGCATTTTGTCCTGATGGGCTCCCGTAGAAGGAAGCATGGCGTTGCCCAGAGACTTAGACCCACTCCCATGTAATTTAGACCTGATGTTTATGGTTATATGTTACAAAGCCACCAATATTTTTCAATAACTGGGCCTCATTTAATGAATTTTCAGCAACATTTTGATGGCTATTTCCAGAGATTTCCAGTAAAAACTACACATTGTAACTCAGCTCGTGACAATGTCTCTGATGAGCTCTGAACTGTAAACGCAACAACAGAAGGGCGCTGCTAGGACTGTCCGCCCACACGGCCGACTCTTTAACCTTCCCTCCACTGGGACCCTGCAAGCTTGATGTAGTCATTGTTGGCTACAAACCCGTCTCTCCATCCTTGTGGCTTGTCGGAAGTTTTGTTTTGTTGTTGCTGTGGTCGTTGTACAACGATGAGGTTAGAGACTTTTCAGTTAGAGCCATGCATTTCTCTTTTTCCCATCCAGTTTGATGTAAATCAGACTCAGCTGGGCTTCCCTTAGCTCCCCCTTTATTGAAACTCTGTTAGTAATTTTGCTCCATCACAGTTCAATTCAATTCAAGTTTATTTATATAGCGCCAAATCACGACAAGAGTCGTCTCAAGGCACTTCACATAATAAACATTCCAATTCAGGTCAGTTCATTAAGCCAATCAGAAATAATGTTTCCTATATAAGGAACCCAGCAAATTGCATCAAGTCACTGACTAGTGTCAGTGACTATACAGCAATCCTCATACTAAGCAAGCATGCAGCGACAGTGGAGAGGAAAACCCCCTTTTAACAGGAAGAAACCTCCAGAGAATCCTGGCTCAGTTTAAGCAGCCATCCTCCACGACTCACTGGGGATCGAGAAGACAGAGTAGGCAGACACACACACACACACACACACACACACACACACACACACACACACACACACACACACACACACACACACACACACACACACACACACACACACACACACACACACACACACACACACACACACACACACACACACACACACACACAAAGACTAGTAATGTGTCTATAGTTATATTGTGATGTCTTAGTAAATATTCTATTTGGTGAAAGATAAACTTTATTGTATTTATCCTAGTGGATCTATAATTAAACGGGTAAACTAGTAGTAGCACATCCAACGTCAATGAAAACAAATAGTTATTATCAGGAGAGAGAGAATGTATTAGTGGTTAGCAGCAGTGTGCTAGTTGATGGCCCTCTCCATGAGGCCACCACAGCTGAGCAGAACGTCATTGTAGCTTCTTCTGGGGAGAAAAACACTTACAGAGAAAATAAAGTTAACAGCTGAAATTGCACAAAATAGTACAGTTAAAGAGCAGACTGTAGAAGAAAGTAGTAGAGTGTGAAAAGTGGTCAGTGTATCCTCCAGCAGTCTAAGCCTATAGCAGCATAACTACAGAGTTAACTCTGGATAACCTATCCTATTTAGATGTAGGCATGTTGGAGGCAGGGCAAGGGAGAGCCGTCTTTACCGACTGTACACTCCACCTCCCTGTAATCCCCCACTTGTCCAGATTTAGGCTAACATCAGATTTTAACTATAAGCCCTATCAAATAAAAATGTTTTAAGCCTATTCTTAAAAGTAGACAAAGTGTCTGCCTCACGGACTAAAGCTGGGAGCTAGTTCCACAGGAGAGGAGCCTGATAACTAAAAGATCTGCCTCCCATCCTAAGTTTAGATATTCTGGGAACCACCAGTAGACCTGCAGTCTGAGAGCGAAGTGCTCGGTTAGGAACGTATGGAACAATCAGATCACTGATGTATGATGGAGCTTGATTATTAAGAGCTTTATATGTGAGAAGAAGGATCTTAAAATCTATTCTGAATTTAACAGGTAGCCAATGTAGGGAAGCTAAGACAGGAGAGATATGATCTCTCTTTTTAATTCTCATCAGAACTCTAGCTGCAGCATTTTGGACAAGCTGAAGACTTTTAACTACATTCTGTGGACTTCCTGAGAGTAATGAATTACAGTAATCCAGTCTTGATGTAATAAATGCATGAACTAGTTTTTCAGCATCACTCCTGGAAAGTATGCTTCTAATCTTAGCAATATTCCGAAGGTGGAAAAATGAAATCCGACAAACTTGTGAAACCTGGGATTTGAATGACATGTCCTGGTCAAAGATAACACCAAGGTTCCTTACTTTGTTCTCGGAGATTAATGTAATGCCATTCAGGTCAGGCGATTGACTAAGCAATTTCCTTTTCTGAAGTTCTGGTCCAAAGATGAGAACTTCCGTCTTGTCTTGATGTAAAAGCAAAAAGTTTAGAGTCATCCAATTTTTTTATGTCCTCAAGACAAGCCTGTAATCTACCCAACCGATTAGGTTCATCAGGGTTAATGGATTAATATATCTGAGTATCGTCAGCATAACAGTGGAAGTTTATCCCATGCTGTCTAATGATTTTACCAATTGGTAGCATATATATAGTAAAAAGAATTGGCCCAAGCACTGAACCCTGTGGTACTCCGCAAGTAACCCTGGAGTATGAAGACGATTTGTCAAGCACATTTACAAAATGAAATCTGTCAGACAGGTAGGATTTAAACCAGCCTAACGCTGTTCCTTTGATCCCTACAACATGTTCAAGTCTTTCTAAAAGAACATTGTGATCAACTGTGTCAAAGGCAGCACTGAGATCTAACAAGACTAGAACAGACACAAGATTCTTATCTGAGGCCATGAGAATATCATTTGTAACTCTCACTAATGCAGTTTCAGTGCTGTGATACTCTCTAAAATCAGACTGAAATTCCTCAAACAGAGCATTAGTGTTTAAATGCTGACATACTTGGATGGCCACTATTTTCTCCAGGACTTTGGATAAAAATGGAAGGTTAGATATTGGTCTATAATTCATTGGGTCATCTGGATCCAGAGAAGGCTTCTTAAGTGAAGGTTTGATTACAGCAACCTTAAAATCTTGTGGTACATATCCATTTACTAAGGATAGATTGATTATATCTAGAATGGGGGCAGTAACCAAAGGAAATGTATCGTTAAATAATTTGGTTGGGGTTGGATCCAAAATGCAAGTTGAAGGTTTAGATGAAGCTAATATTTTTGATAACTCCGAAAGCTCAACTGGATCAAAACGGTTCAAGCACAGATGAGGTTCTAGAGTTACCTCTGAAGCTGCCTCACTTACTGAGGAAGAAGAAATCGCATTAGGGAGGATGCTAAAGATTTTGTTTCTAATAGAATTAATTTTACTTGTAAAAAATCCCATGAAGTCATT